ATAAATAGATAAATAAATAATTATATATATATCTTACCTCGCTTTTTTTGCAGTTTGTGTTGGCCACGTACATCTTGACGTTGTACATGGTTCCTGCAATGCTTTGGGAGGTCACTTTTTCGATGCCAACTAACGCTTGAACGAATTGATCAGTCGAGTCCTTGTTCAGAGATGCCAACGCGGCACATGCTTGCTGTTGTGCCTGAACTTTTGTCACTGGTTGTTCAATGCCCATCACCCCTAGCTGCCAACGTCCGAAGATCAATGCAATGAGAGCTGGTAACGGAAACAGTCGACCGGTTGCCATCGTGTCCGAAAGTGTAACAGGATTTCAGAACAGAGCACAAAACTACGACGATGAGGATATGCGGACCAGACAAAGGACCAGTCAAACCGGAGTGTAATGAGGAAACGTCGCAAACAATAGCTGAGTGCTTTGCGTTATTTGATAATAGGTCATCGTGATGCGTAGCTTCGTACATTGTGATCTCTCCCGCTGTTCGTTTGCCTACAGCGCTTTTCCTAGTAACACTTTTGATTCCTAAAAACAGACTGTCACCTGACAGGAGGTTTACTCTCACGCGATCCTCAACTAAGTATTAGCATTATTGAGTAAAGGAAGAACAGCAAAGTTGCTCAGGTTGACCATATATCCCATCATCGTCTTTGCTCTTGTTGGTGACCACTCTTGTCAAAATGTATTTCGCGGAAACAACCGACAGTCGATTTGATTCTCCTAACCATGAATATTGGCAGCAAATTCATTCAAATGCATATATTTGTTTACAAAATAATGAGTCATGGAAATCCTAAAACTGTGTGTGGAGGGAGAACTCGTTAAAGCCATTTCTGAACAGATCGCTAATAATCGACAAAAGGTTGAAATTGACTCGATGCCGATCACCAACCCAACGATTCACTATTTATCATTAATGACTACTGGCATCGGCGGAAAGATTTAGAGCGAATAGCGTTTGCCATGATTGAAATAACGTTTGAATGTTCTGACGTCATTACTTCTGATGTAAACTGCTGATGTCGTCGAATCGTAGTAGAAGAGAGGAATTGGAGCGGTAGCTTATTTGTACTCTAGTAAATACTTTTTACTGAGGCTTCACTTCGGGCGAAGTACTCATAATATCGTTTATTACCACTTCTTTTTACAGCTATAAATCTAACGGATTAGCCATTAGCAAACCTATTACACTGACGTTTTAATGATCCTCCTACAGACTGTGAATGTTACGTACACGTATACATGGACAGAAATAGCATGAAAAATTAGGTCACCCGCAGTTCCATTACAATTTCAGTTTAGATGATTACCACACCAATAAACATATGTAAATAACACTGCTTTGATGGTCTGTTTATGACAACCCAAGTAAAAGACATTTCTTCTCAGTTTCCTGATATATCTCATCAAACGTCGTCCAAACGTTTTCAATCGCTTATCTGATATTGTAGCTGCAGATAACAGTGTATTACACCATCAAGTCTTTCCTTGATCTTCCCTCTGTGATGTTCTTAATTTGTCACCCTGTGCTCAAATAGTAGACGATGCAGTGTAAAGAATTTTCCATTTGGAATTAACCTAGACAATGACATCCTGATATTTTCTTTCATGTTCTTGCTCTAGCGACCTTCCGATTGAAAATGTACCTTAACGGTACTTAGAGGTTTGTCAAAAACTCATATTGCAGTGTCGCTAGTCGGTCGTTTAAGGGCCGGCAATGACGAGCATCACCAATAAACAAAATACTCACTGCCGTATTTGGCTCTCATTGACAGCTTTACTTTAATTGTTCAGGCGCTGAGACGGGGGACTCATTGAGAGTGCTTTATGAATTACAGCATATGATATTTTCCATGCTCCATAATCAGGTCAGAGAGATCTTAAGGAGAAAGAAAACTAGTCGGCGGGCATTCCATTCCATCAATGACGTCATCTTCAAAAACACCTGTAGGAAAGGAACATACAGTAACTTCGTGAATTATACCGTCCGACCAGCAGTGCTATATGATTGTTAAACTTGGTCACTCACAAAAGTCGAAGAGCGCCAGGTATTTCTCACCGAAAGAACCATGGAAAGAAAAATGTTGAGAATCTCCGGTTGCGACGATGTTTTCTACATGGTGATCAAACAACGAACGAATGTGAAGGAGGCTGGAGGTTATCGTCGGATTCAGAAAGATGAAACTACGGGTAGCCGGGACGCAACTAGGCTCACCGATGATATATGATTAGCGATAATCGCCATTTGATACCCTCGCTGGGGGG